GCCGATATGGTTAAACAAATGTGATTAATTCATAATTGTCGACGCTCTTGACACTCAAGTTCAAGTTAATTTATCTTTACTCATCGTACCATATTCCCTTTACCTACATTCAAGACACTTGATGAAAAATAGATGTGATTATGTGCTACCTATAGATTGTTCAATAATATTTAATCTATTCACATCTGTGTATTTCTTTTGTTTATTTCACATGATCATTAACCTTCACATTAATCCAGGAGATGTTCTTTTCAATATTTTATGTGTTTGTTGTCATCAGTTTTATTGTAAATAAATTATTAATTTTTTGTCCATGTCTCGTATAAAATAATTAAATCATTAGCAAACTAATGAGTTGAGCATAAAGCTGTCTAAACATAAACTTGAAAAGCTACTGATTTTTTTTAAATCTAGCTAAAGGGTTTTCTGACAAATAACATAAAATTTGTTTTTTAACTCACTTTCATCCGTAAATTAAACAAATAAAATATGAACTAGACCCCACAAAACAATTTTAGACCTTATATGTGAATGAACCCTTTTGATGCTTCTCAATCTTATCGATATGCTCAGATTGACGTTCGAAAAATAGGAAGAATAGTTTTGATTATTATCTCGTCTAGAGGTTTTTTAGCGCATTCATGAATATATTTCTAGTATTGATTGGATTATAGCCCTGCTAATTAAATCAATAGATGATGAATCTGAGTGATATCATTGATCATCATTATTTTATATGAAAATCGTGTATCCAAAATAAATATCATTTGGATTGTAAAGAACCCATTTCGGGTTAAGATTAAAGCCGATGATAAGCCGTTTGGATTGAATATATAACATTAAAAACAAAAACGATGACGCTTGTGCGATATCTCTTTTGTTGTTCTTGTGAAGGTCATAATTGATATTGAATAACTTGCTATCATATGTTTTAGATTCACACGAATATTTTGGATATTTTTTTGGAAGATGTAATAAATTCTTTTTATAAATAGATAACTTGTATTAAGTTATTATGGACGAAAAATAATTCTTAAGGTATCAAATTTCCCTATCATTCGTCTTAATTAACGACTTTTAAATTTAATAAATTTTAATGTGCTCATAAAATATGCAGATTTGGCAATGCAAAATAATGTTGGAAACGGAAACAGTTTAATTGTTCTTAATTGAACAAAAATAAATCTTTTTGAGGAGTTTTAGTTCCGAAACTGAGGATATGTAAATCATTTTTGGTAGAGAATTAAATGTAAGAATGTAACAAGGTCTTATTAAGGTTGCATTTTAATTCTTTCTATGACTTAGAGCTCATTCGTAGATTACGATTTAAAATTTGCAACAGAACTGTCTATTTTGCTGACAATCCTGACAAAAAATCACAAAATATAATTTATGCCAAGATGCAAGCAGTCAAAAACTCGAATCTAACCAAACCACCAAACATAAAAAGCTATCGTGTCATCCAAATCATTTAATAAACTAGTATCATTCACTTAATCGACTCGAATAAATTGATGTCAACTAGTTCTACCCAGAAACTGCTCTAAAAGACCGATCATAATATAAATCACAAAAGATTCGAATCATCGATAAGGAAGAAATCAAACAAAAGCAATACATGATCGACACAAAAAAGCCATGTGAATATAATCGTGTATAAATTAGCTACGAATTCTGACTCATATTCATATTTTTGGTGTAAACTTCAATTCTGATATCATGCTTAAAATGTTGAATGGAACTTGCTTGTTGACGGAATATTTTTAAAACCGATAAAAATGCTTCAACATCCATTAGATTTTTATAATTTTTCATGTTTTTTTTATGAATGAAGAAGAGATTAACCATAATAAAAAAAGTTTTGAGTCTTTTGTCGAAAAGATCCTTTGATGTTTTTCTGAATAGAAAATATACATAAGCAGCTGGTTGTCTCTTAAGTTGTTTGCGATTAAAATGGAAACATTTAAGCTCTTACTTTGTATTCTTGATGCAAATTAGGAAGATATCTCAGCAAGGTTAATTCGGGGTCATACAAGGGCTTTATGGGATAATATGTAATCAATTATGCCAGTTTGAAAGTGAAGCCTCAACTGATTAACTAGATAGCGTTCTACTTATCTAAAAATCTGTGTGTAGGAGTTCGATTCCGTCCAGATATTAATCTTTTTTGATATATCATAGATTGCTCATGACATAAAATTAGATCGCAAAATATAGTAACTTTATCCAATAACTAGGGTAGCAACAAGACTTAACGTCTGCATCTTAATAGATTTGAGGAAAAATTTCCATAATTTCATCGAGTTGATCCCTGAAAAATCCAGAAAAATTGTCATAAGACGTAGTAAACGAGATGCGAAACGTTTCATATCAATTAGCATATTCTATCGATAACTCAAAAAGCCATGAAAAAGAAACTTTTCTCTCTTGTTCGTTGCTTACTTGGAAACTGGACACTCCAAAATCTGCTTACATCATTTACGTCAGTCGTTTTAAAAACTCAAGAACATGCATGCGCTGTGATTTCCTCCTCCTACTCGTGTGTGACTTTTTCGACGTTGAGTTTAAAGCTCTTTTTTTTTTCTTGTTAATTTCTTGTATCGTTTCATCGTGCCTCTGATGGCGTGAAATATTGGTGGTAATGAGAAACCACAAAAATAAAAAAAAAAACAACACAAAAGTTGCAAAAAAGATTCATTCATTATCACTTATGTGACAGACAATATGACGCTGCTTAAAATTTCTTCCGCACGTTATTAAATGAAACGAAATTTCGAGGGTATTCTCACGTGGATGATGAAAGCGCATTTTAATTGACTTTATTTTTATGGGATTGTCTTGAATAAAATTTCCATTTTAATGCTCATTTGCAATTTTTAACGGTTTTGTTTAAAAAAAAGTGTTTTGAATTTTTAATTTATGGAAATTTAATGAAATTTATTTTTGTCTAATCAGTTGTCAATCGGACTTTCCTTTTCCCATAGAATATTCAAGGTTAATCGGCTTCTCTTTGTTCAAACTGGTTGATAATGCGAAACGGTATATTTTTGACTTTTTGTGCAATGTATTGAAATCAAACGCAACAGTTTCATTGCATTTCAAAAATACATAGTTGTTCTGAATGCGATTCTGAACGGAATTAGAACTGACATTTTGTGTATATTTATTTATGAATCTCACATAAAATGTTATTTGTTATGATGAAATTAATCGAAGAAATAAGATTGAAATCAAACTCGTGATTGTAAAGTTGGTGATTTTCATAATTCTTATCGTCGATATTTTGATTATTTTGATCAGTTCCAAACTTGACTTTGATTGTTTACCACATAAATATGTGCAGCATAGTATCGATACAAGCTCTACATGAATGTTTACAAAAATCCAAATAAAAAGTCAGTCAACTTTTTGAACTTCATATAAGTTCGAGATTCTTAAAACAGAATCTAATAGAATTGTATTGATTCTTAACTCCTTATTAACTTACAAAGCAGATTGTTGAGGAGGCTTACTCTAAAGAAATGTAAATTAACTCATTGTTGTGAAATTTTTAACAAACCAGTTAATTCCAAATAATCTAAACCAAAAAATAATCAAAGAGCTTCCATTCTGAATGGATTTGTTCTTTTAATTCAGAGTTCATTGAAATCTGGCTTTTATAGTGGATATAACCTTGAACATCTTTGTGATAGTAAACTACAGAAAATGACAATGATTTCTTTATTGTTCTTTATTTGATCAGAGAATACCTTTTGAAGCTAACCATATTCTTGAAAGATTGATCATGATAGCACTAGAGAAAGAATGTTTCTCTGAAAATCATTTAAATTAATCAATTTTTTCTATTTAAATAAAAACATTTTAATAAGTTCTGATTTTTGCATTTTTAATAAGTCTCACGTGCCATTTTTTTTATTTTTGTGATTTTTGTTAATAACCTTCATCCATTCACACACGGGAGCGCAATAAAGAATTCTCCAAAGAATTGCTCAATTTAACGAAGAAAAATTGAAACGTAAATCTTTATTTCATTAACGACAACAAAATATAAAGAGAAGCATTAATAATGTGATATTTCTTTATTAATTTTCCACTTTTTTATGTCTTAATTAAACGTTATTAATTTGGTAAAGACAAAAAAATAACAAAACATTCTCAATCACTTCTTTCTAAATTTTTGGAGAGGTTTTGGGGTCAGTTGGAAATGACGTCCATTCCGAATGTAATTTATGGATCTCATGCATCAACTGTTGCCAAATAATTAACAATCAGCTAGGCCCCTCCTCATACAAAAATTACACATCACAAAAGAACGCCCGCAAAAGTTTCTAATGGAAATTGTCGTAGTTATTCATATTTCAAAAAGAATCAGCTTATTATCAGACACGATCGATGAGATAATTACCATCAATAAAACAAATCGTTCACCGAAAATGGTAAATGAATGGTGTCAATAGTCGTACACTTGAATAAATTCGTATTCTCATATGATTACCATAAGTAAGCTAATGCTGCAAACTACTAAGAAGATTTGTCATCGAACCGTTACAATGATATTGGCTAGTAATATTTATGATAGCATGGTTGCTGAAGAGTATGTGTGAATTATTAGATGCGTAAGTTATTTCATAAACATCTTTTGTGAATTCTTGTGAATCATTAATATGCGCATTTGTTTTTCACAAGATAAAGCTATTTTTATGTAAATAAACTACATGCTTCTTAGCTTTCGCGTGGAAATGTATTTTTGGATAACAATTCATGTGATAAATATTTACATGAAACACACGTCAATGAAAGTAAAAGTTGAATCTAGGTGTTAACCGGTTGAAACAAAATTTGCCGGCTATAATATGAAGGTTTTAGTCTTGTAACTGTCAAATAATTTGAGATTTATCTTCAAACCCTTACAATTTCTTTAAGATTTGTACGGTTCTAAGCATACCACAAAGAAAAAGCAACAAGTCTAATAGTCGCAATATTTTCCTTCTAATCCTCAGATCCTGATACTTTGTGTAATAATTGGTTCATCAACATGCCGAAAAATTGTAATCAAATCGAATCCAGACAGGAATGCTGAATTTTTCCAAGATAAAGACTTCACATTTGATCAGTCAAAAGATGATGGAAAGAAGCCAACAAATTTTGCAGGAGATGTCATGAAGTCAAAGACCGTTGTATCAGAGAACGTTCAGGGCAGAAAGAGTTTCAAGTTTGCGTGAGTTTTCAATGATTATTTTATTGAACATTACTTGAGAGAAGCCTTTCATCTTTTAATAATAAAAAAAAAAAATGTTTGTTCTTTTTTTTATCATTTGATCTTTTAGATTGGGAACACAAAACGGCATCGAAATTGAGCAAGTGGGAAGACTTAAGCCAGACAACAAAACACTTGTTGTTAAGGGCTCTTATTCATATACAGGTGCCGATGGTCGACGATATAGAGTTCGTTATACCGCCGATGAGCTTGGTTTCCATCCTATTACAGAACTTGAGGTCGAAATTCCAGATATTGTAACAACAACAAAGAATCCTTTCAGTAAATCAAATTTCCCAAATAAGCGTTATCTTCCTCCATCAAACTCATACTTGCCACCATCAAACACATATTTACCACCAAGTAATACATATTTACCACCCTCAAATGTAAATGCAAGAAATATAGAGCTACCATATAATACAGTGTGAGACATCAACTCAATATTTTTAATTAAAATGAAACAAAAAATGACTTTTTCTCTTTTTTCATATGCATGCATTTTATATTATTAATTTTTATTTTTTATTACAACTTTCGTCTTAATTTATAAAATTGATTATAAATAAAGATTTAAATAAAATTGTGTTTAAGGCTTTAGGTAAGACAGAGACATCAACAATTTGAATAACTACACATGTACACACTCTCAACGTTAAAAACTGAAAGATGAAAAATAAAAATTAAGAGATTTTTTTTCTATGAAAAACTTTTTTTGTGTTTTATTTTTATTTTCTATTTTGATTTTAAGTAATTTAAATCTTTGAGGTCTGGATGTGTTAACTTCGTTATTGATCTCTTTCTTTTTCACATCCATCCTTCCATCAGTTCTCATTGAACCTTTTGTCGTCTTGAATAAATTATCTCTGTCAAAAACAAGAAGTTGTCTTTAATTTACAGAATTTTCAGTAATTTAAGGATCACGTGAATTTTCTCTAGAAGTTTGTTCACTAATTCCTTTAAAAGATGTGACTTAATATAACGTCTCTCAATAACTTAAACTCCCTAAAGTTTTGAAACAGCGACAGAAATTAATACGATTGCTATATCTTAGTGTTTATACCAGAATTAAGCTACTGTAATCCTTAAATCTCCTCCCATCATCAGCTTTAGACTAAATATGTGATCTACTCGACAACATGTAGGTATTACAGCACCTTATAACCTTGAGATATCCAATATCAGAGAAAACACAATAAATTGAGACATTATTTCTTAAAAGTTTATTTAAAAGTTCTCTAAATTTATATCTATTCAACTCAGTGCCTGATATCAAATTAAATGCTGTAGCCAGTTTTCAGAAAAGTGCATCAGTCCAAAGATTTGTTTACAGGAGTGCATTTAAAGTAACTTAATAGTGATTTTGAATTGTAAGAAATGCCATGTGACAAAAATCTACCAAAAAGTTCAATTTATCCTTGTCCAAACATTGTCGCGAATTGTTTGATCATATCCGTAAATTGTGATCCACCGTTTTTAGCCATGTCAGCAAACTTTCCGATCATATTCTTCAGCATGTCAGGCTTCATTTTTGATAGGTCACATCCTGAGCCTGCGTCACCCTTCTGTGGTGATTGAAGAGATAAAACTGCAAAAGACTGACAAAATCAATTAAAAATTAGGAAGTTAAAACAGAAGATATCCTCAATGTACCACAAGAACAATGAATATTACGATGCTGATCTTCATTTTAACAGTTTAAATTATTATTTTAAAAAATTAATGATTGTCAACTTACAATTTGCATTCTCTTTTTATATCAAATCAGAGTTGCAAACCTTTAAATGCGGTAAATTAATTCAAATTCCTTTAAGTGAAGCATGAAAATCTGACAATATCTATTCATGGCTGTGCAACAATTTTCTCACAAATTCAAAATCAATTCGCAACACACTCATCTTAATTTTTCACACATTGCAAAGCGTTAAGTGCACAATCTCCGAGAGAATTAAATTTGCGCCAATGAAATAACTTTGTGATAACATCGAAATCTGCTGAAAATTCAAAAATCTGAAATTTTAATTATTTCATTCTGATATAATAGTTTGTTCTGTAATTTACATTATTGTTGAGTAATTATTTAGATGAGTAGCATTTGGATTTAATGAGATGTGTAGTAAAATGGTCGATTTGGGAGTTCTGAACATCATAAAGAGAATTATATGGAATTCGAAGAATCGAACCCGATTTTTTAAACTTCATTATAATTGGTTTAAACCTTCTTATGATCTCAATCATTTCGGAATTCATTTTATAACCATTTAAATATTAAGGATTCGAACAAGCCTTAAGTTGCTCTCATTAGCCAGGATACTAGATATTTTCGAAATTCCCTATATTAATGTATCGCATGATTACAATCCTAATCAAGTATTCGTCAATTTATACTACGAATTAACCTTTAAAGAATCTATTAGCTAATAATTGAAGTTCCAGTGCTTTACAAGATTCAGAATCCCAACTATCTCATGCTCAATACTTGCAAAGTTTCTGTAAAATATTCACTTTACAAAAATTTTTATTGTTACTGATTCATACCTAATCGTGAGCTTTAAACTTGAATGAAAAATTTTAATATTTTAATGTAGCTGAATAAGTGAGAGGAAGTAGAAATAAAAAAATTTTCAGACTTTATTTTAGCTATTGTTTATTACAAAAAAATTTCAGTATTTAAAATTAACTCGAAGTAATCAGTTGAAAGGAGTCATGAGGACGGTAATCATACTTCTCGTTGTACTAGTAGTCTTTACTGTGGCTGTAAGTTAAGAGTTGTGAAAAATTGTTGAGTTCAGAACTAATAGAGTAATTCTTAGGCTCCTCAGTACGATCCATCACAATACCCCATTCCACAGTCACAACGAGCTAATGACAGGATAAGTGGACGAGTAATCGAGCAAGTCGAAAATGTCTTCAACGGTGTAATGCTAATTATTAAATCTTTCTTCCGAAGAAGTCCTGTCTAAGTTAATTATTATCATTTGTTACTTTTGACATTTTTGTGTGTTGTTTTAAGAATAAATTAAAAGTCATTAAGTGAAGAGAATCAAAGATCAATGTGTTGTATATGCTTAACATTTGTATTATATTTTTTTTGGCAAAAGCAACTGATTGCAGACAAATAAACAGAATGAAGAGCATATAGGAACTGTATTTTTTTACCTACAGCTGCATGTTTAACACGTTTTTGACATGATGCACAGCATGATTTCAGATCATTATGATTTATTTCAGAGCTAGCGTGTCACATTTCATTCGGAATGGCAGCAACGAGACCGTTATTTTTTGTTGGATGTTCTTCCTGGTTCCACAACATGATCCAGTTTTTGAAATTTGAGTGAATGAGATTGAATGTAAATAAGTGCTCAACGTTAAGGCATGTAGAAATCTAAATGATTAAATTGCATTGTAATTTTGGACTCGTGTAATGAAGTGATTGGAGATCACATGATCTTATGAAGTCGAACTAGTTCTCAGAAAACGTGTGGGATTTTCTCATTCAATGCAATTTATTTTTTCTAGATCATTGAAGTTCAATAGTGTTGTTATTAATTGGTTTTTGAGATCAAACGGTATCAAATTTAATTAAACTACTTCCTTCAAAACTAGTACTGACTTATTACGCTACTAAAAAAACGAAAATACCTCCAAGCTGATGAATCCTATTAGAAGTCTTAAGTGTAAGCATTGAGATCGATAATCCATTAATTGGGACTGATATGTCACTTTTGACTTCAACATTAGGGGCCATTCACTTATTACGTTCGCACTTTAGGGGGGAAGTGGGGGGGGGGGGGGGTTGAAAAATTGTAACAAAATGTAACATAGCGGGGGGGGGGTGTTTGTTTACAAATTCACACCAAAAACATTTTTTTAAATTTTCCACCTTTTTAATGATAATATTTTCATGACATTTTTGAATTTTCTTCGAAAAAAAAACAAATTTTTGCTTTATATCTCAATCCAATAATTCACGAGAATACTAATAGTATCAATCAAAACATGACCCATTTAGCTGTACAGTATTTTGATATTTAAGAAAAAAAATACAAAAGAAATTTAACCGTCTTTAAAATAAAATAAATTTTAAACGTTCAGGGGAACCCCCGGGTTGTGAGTTGTAACATATTGTAAAAAGGGGGGAGGGGGTGAAAAAAGTCGTTTTTTTGCGTAACGTAATAAGTGAACGGCCCCTTAAGTTAAGATCATAAAATTTCATTTTTACCAAGAATTGTTTCACCTTGAACCCTTTCCACTAGCTCGTTTTCATTCAAAAGTTCACTAACACATCCAAACAATTTTACTGTAAGATTATTCTTTAAATAATTCTTTTATAACTCATTCTCATCTAATAGGAAGTGTTTATTAATCAATAAATCATTAGTAATCAGCATAGTAGTACATTAATTGTCTTGATTAATAGCAATTAGATGAAATTTTGAAGGTTTTTAATTTGGGTAAAATTATTGTTTACATTTTTACAGCTGAATTCACGCTGAAAAGTGCTGAATTAAAACATTTGTAATAGTATTAGTGAATTTTTAAAAATGTAACGGTTTTTTGAATTACACACGTGTGCAAATTTTAAATCCAGGAAGCGTTTTTCAATAATTACCTGAAAATAACTGATACATAAATAGTAAACATCCTGTCAAGATCAACTGTTGTCTGCCAAAATAAGCCACAAATTATTTTATTTTTATGAATTACAACATTTTGCTTAATTGGATATTTTAAAATACAGAATTAATAATTGAAATGCCTGTCCAGAAATATTTATTTAAAGTATTTATCGCCGTCAGGGTCTTGATGGTCCACCCATATCAATATTGTTTGTTGTCTTTTCTAAGAATGACAATGGATTTTGCATGCTCTGTGAATAAGGTGGACGATGAGTGACGCCAAATCCAGGCTGATGCATTTGAGGTGGTAAATTTTGTTGGTGTGAAATATTTGGACCCATAGATTGAGGACCTTGCATTTGTGGATATGGTGGAAGTTGTGATGGATTCATTGGCGATTGAGGATTTACTGGAGCTGGAGATGTGTCACTTAAATAATCCTTCCATTTAACTATTTTTGCTGAATGTTTCTTAAGCAGTTCATCTTTTCTGGCAATTTCATGTCTTAAGTCTATATTTTCCTCTTTCAACAGCAACTCAGGCTTTAGACATGACAGTTGGAAACGCTTTTGTAAGAAGAAACATTCCATTTGCCTAGCAAGATCAATAAAATTGGCAATTGTGTTCTCTACCTCAATTTTTATCTCATCTGAATTAAATAAAAGCGATTAACTAGTAACTGGAACATTAATAATTATCAGAATTTACCTTTATCAGATCCACTGGATGATTCTTCCTTAGTCAAACAATGAATGCAGTTCATGAAGCTTAACTCAAATTTATCCATTAAGGAATTAGTAGGTGGTCCAGTAAATGTTGGTTCCATTTTAGCAATTCCTTATTATTCGGTTAATTTACACTTATTTTAAACACGTTTTAGGGACTTAATACCGTAGAAATCCTTTAAATTAATTTCAATTCAAATGTCGATTTTGCGGCATGTAAACAAATAGGGCAAGTGCCTCAATTTTGGAACAGCACTAAAACAATATAATGTTTTAAATAAATTGAGTTTTTCTTTATTTTCTCGTCTCAATAATATAATTCATTACTAATGGCTGATTAATCTTTGTGGACTCTAGCAGCTCTTGGATCCTCTGGTCGGTAAACAACATATGACATTTTGTATCTTCGATTATCGCCATCGTTTTTGTAATATCTGTATAATCCAATACCAGCTAATCCAATTCCGACCATTCCTAAAACATTTGCAGCCATAACTTCTGGGATTTCATTCCATCCTACAAGAAAAAGGTATTAAAGTGGATTATTTTAAGTTTTTTTGGTGAAAAACAAATGATTTTCTTATTTTATGAATTTTTCCACATTACATCTGTTATTTCTTAATTATTTTACCTCGCATCAGAAGAGCCTTGATTGTAGTTTTTCCTGCTTGTGATGCCATCCTATTTAATTTTGATTTAACACGATAATTAATGAATTTATTCAAAAAGAAGTTTTGTTATGCAAAACAGGGGAAAATCAACTCAAAAGAAAATCAATTAGCAAAGAATTGTGTATTATTGCTTTGCTAATTTTTGTCTGACTGGCTAAACCTATATGTCTACGTTTTTGTCAATTTCGAGGTCTATATTAGGTCCTTTTATTATGGATTGGTAGCTTCGGAGAAGATTTATTAAAAGTCTATTGAATAACATCACAGCAGACAAAGGATTTATTTTTCTCAAAATTTAACGTCGCAAATTTATTTTAAAGCTTCAGAAACAGCACAAAACTTTTCAAATTTGAAATTTCCGTTTGTAAAATCTAGTACTTTAAGCAATAAAATAAACAATAACAGGTGAAATTTTAATTAATATCATTACTGCGCAATAATCATTACACAATGTCAAAACACAGTTTACTTGGTTGTCTTAGAGTTCCTATTATTGTTTTCTGTGGATGTAAGCTGCCTTTAATATTAATTGTATAATTTGGATCTGTCATATTTTGGTTGCTCGAAGGTGCTGCAATAATTATCAAATGAATCATTTTAACAAGTTACCTGATGAATTAATCAACAAAATCTACAGCTATTTGGATATTCAGTCCATCAAGAATTTTTCCTTAACTTTTAGAAGGTAAACTTCAAAGCTTTTTCTATTTTTAAAATTAGATTACAGCTGATTTTTTGTATTTAATTATATTTTTCTTGTTCTTCTTACAGATCAGCAGCAGTTTTAGCTTCATCGTCATATTTGTTAAATAAATACTTTAAAATTAAGCTTGATGGTGATTTTTGGACAAACAGAGAGAAAGTTCTGGATGTTATGTACTTCAAACGGTACATGAATGAACTTGATATTGCGGACATACATGGAAATCACAATGTGTTATGTGCTTTATTTAAGAAATATGGCTGTCAAATAATGAAGCTTAAGATTTCCAATTCAAAAATTGACGATTTTACATTTCGGGAAATTTTAAAATATTGCCCAGCACTAAAGGAACTCCAGTTAGCAGAAGTGAGTGTCATCAAGAAGCTACCAGCTATAAATCCAGTATGTATGACAGATCTTAAAGTCCTATCAGTTATTTATTGTGATTGGGAAATCTTTAAATTCTTTACGAGATCGCAAGTTAAGTCATTGATCATTAAAAGCTACCTTGATGAAGGTAATCGAAAGGATCTCGTAAGATACTTGTCATTTCAACGTAAATTAAAGGAAATGACATTACATGGAACTGCTCTCCGAACTCTCTTTCAAAATAATGATGTTCTAGGGAATTGTTTATACAATTTGCATTCACTTCGCATTGACAACGGAATAGGCAAGAACTCAGATATTGTTAACCTGAACATCATTACTTTTGTCAATTTGATGGACGATAGTTTGAATAATGTCGAGATTTGTGGACCTCACAATGAAGAAATGACTATATTTTCGTTGCTACATTTAGAAAACGTTCGTAGTTTGGTCATCGATGTACGTGGCTTGCCAAAAAGTCGAGAATTTTATCAGCAACTCGAAAATGATCCAAAAAATCCAAACCTTGATAGTTTAAAGCTTGTTGGATTCTTCTTTCAACAGGAATATGCAATCAAGTCAATTCTGCTTAAATATCCAATGATTCGTGATTTAGAAATTTATGACTGGGGAAATGGTCCGATATCGAACTTACTAGTCTTTATTTCCCAAAACTTACCATATCTACGAAATTTGAAAATCACGGAAATCACAAACAATGAAAATATCAAGTTGAATGCATTGCAAAACTTAACTGTTCAATACATCAGAAATGCACGAAAATTGACTAACTTCATTGTCAGAAATAACTCCGTAGAGACATTAAATATTGGACTCGTTTACATCGGACAAGTCACAGAATTCGCAAACGACTTAAAAGATCTCAATAGTGTTAAGCATCTATCAATAGGCGGCAATAAGACTGCTTTGAGGAAATTGCTTACTTTGATACACCAGGAAAAGCCTGAGAAGCTTGAAACATTGGAACTTTCGCTCGTGTGCGAAGAGAAAAATGCTTCACAAAAATCTATTAAAATGAAATTGCCGTTCGATCCATTTGATTTGAATATGAAATTCAAAGTGCTAATTTAAAAACTTATTGTAATGGAAGCTCATTGAATGAAATTCAGTGTGGATTTAACGAAATATTTCACAAATTATTTCTAGACTTATTTCCGAAAAATGACACTTTTCATTTAAAAAAACTTTTGTGATCTTTATATTTACAAAACTCTTATTTGTAGATTCTCTATTTATGTATTTCTTTATTTAATAAAAAATATTAAAATCAGAAAATTTCATTCAATTAAGAAAAGCTTTTCAGACAAATAAAACTTTTCAATTATTTTCAAACAATTAAAACTAGTAAAATCTTTGAAAAAATTCAATCTCAGCAAACAATATCGTGAGTTTTGATATTAATATTTTCTGTTGTGTTCGGTAACATCAAATCTTTTTGTCCCAAGTTTAAGTTTTAATTAAGTTACAAACTCTGAAAGTGATACAACATTTAATTTACAATCCTTTATAGTTATATTTAGCATGTTCGTTTAAAAAGTGAAGTGATTGATTTTGAAAAAGTGAAACATTTGTAAAGTTCTATCTTTAAGGTCTTTAGTTTCAATGACATTGAGCGGCATCGTAAAGCATTTATGTAAAACAAACGTTTCAAAATTTTTTTCAATCATTTAAAACCAATATTTAGAGTAGTTTGAAAAATCAACGATTAAACTAATTGACAACTTAAAGTATTTAAATCCTTTAAATAATTTCAAGGTTGATTCTCAAATTTCTTACTGGGAAAAACTTTGTAATGCTTTAAAATGAAAAATCCATCGGAATTTTGAATAGAAAATAATGTCAAAATGCAATTTTTACGCAATGTCAATAAATGAGTTTTAATGCAAAGTTAATAAAAATGATAACTTTGACATATTCTTATCAATCCGCTTGTCAAGATCAAAATTTATAAACAATAACAACATGACTGACTCGGAATAATGTACAACAATTTGCACAATTGAGAACGGTTCACTTTTCAATCAGTTTAATCCTCAAAACATCTACTCAAAAACTATTATTTTTATCAGAAAATGTAAAATTTCAATTCATTTTGAGTGTTATTTCTTCTTAATTTTGTTAATTGAATATTATAAAAAGACAATACAATCGAAAAAAAACGAAAAGCGGTGAAAAACTGTGAAAAATAACGTGAAAATAGTGTAGAAGAAAATTTCTTATTAAGGATTTTGAAGATAGAAAATAATTAAGGTATGTATTTATTTTTTCTATAAATCGGTGTTGATAATCTAAGAACCTCGTTGAAATCATCAACATCTTAATGTTGACAATCGAACAATTTGAATTATTGCGTTTTAAATGTCAAAAATTGCAAGACAAAACAGCCAAACTGATTAGATTTGTGCAAACCTTGAAGAAGAAAAAAAAAATTATATTTTAACATTTTGAGCATAGAAATCTTTATATTTTTTGGGATTCTTTTAAGTGTGATGTGATGTCAAGTGTAACTGTCCATGGAATTTTAACGATTATAATTGTGGTTAAAAATGCGATTATCAAGTGCACAATAGTCAATTATTATCGATAAATTGTATGTGGTGGCATTAAAAAATATTTCCGACACATAAAAAAAGAGTTGTTAAGCAGTGAAATTTTTGAGATTTCTCATTTGAATGTTATTGATTAATATCAATGACATGATCAATGTAGTTGATTAGGAATTAAAATAACTATTTGGATAGAATCTTAAGTGCAATAAATTTCAAAGCGGATTTGAAAGATTACCAACATTTAAGTGATTTAATATCTGAAGGCGCAAAGAAAACACGAATTTCGTTGATTGTTTATCACAATTTGCATTAATTCCTAATCAAAAATTACGTCTGCCTTATTTGCATCCACTCGCTCATAGATGTCGCTTCTGTCCAATTGCAAAATTTATATTCTTTTGTGATTGTGCTTTTTTTTTGCAGAGATTGCATTTCAATTACTTGCTGATGTTATTTATTACCGATTAAACAATGACGTCAGTTCTGTTATTTATGCGTATAAGAAAATAAAAAAAAATCGCCGACGAAAAATTTGTCTCTGCCCACTATTTTTGATCTATAACCATCCGGCCTATAATTCATGATAACAAACAGCACAAAAAAAAACAGAAATTTATATTTATGTAAGGAACAGATACAGAACAAAAACTATGAGCATCTCATTTATTTAACAGTCTATCGTCTAGTCGAAATTTGTTTTATTTTTATTTTGTACACAACAAGAAAATAAGTTCTTTTATGTCGTTTGTATAAATCTCCTATTAAATAATGTCTATATGAATATGCAATATAAATAATATTGCATGAATCTTTCATTGAATGGACACTTGAAATCGTAATTTGTTAATTTTGGATGTCAATTCTATGGATAATAACATTCTTGTCGTGGAAAGAGTTTCGTGGATCAAAAGGTTGCAACTACTCAATCGTCTAAATTTAATCATATCATTTTGATCTTATTGCATCAATAAAATCAACATGCTTAGTTTTAAGAAGAATATTTAAGATGAGAAAGCTACAATTGAAAAGAGTTGTTCTAAGCTATGATATGTCAAGAGACGATGTCAATGTTGATGCGAAATAAGTTTAAACTTGTTTCGAATGTTTTTCGAACAAAATTTCGCAATTTCGAAAATCACATTTTTTATGAAAGTTTTGACTTTTCGCAATTTTTGACTTAATTCATTTATTATTTAGGAATTGAATCCTTCTACTATGTTTTTCAACACTCATTTAATCGTTTAATCGATGATAAAATCAGGAAACATTAGTTTAATATGATTTTTTTCAAAAATATTCAAAAAAATTTGTTGTTTACATTGAAAATTAAAATGTCATTAATTCACTTGCATTAATTGTTTAGCAAATCAGTAATGATTCATTACAGTTGAGTGGATTCTTTTAGCATTTTGATAATGAAAAACAAATATGTAAACCATTAATTAAAGATATTAGACATTAATAATTTAACGTGAAAAAAAAATTTGAACTCATGTTTTAAAATAAAGTACCAAAAAAAAAAAATCAATATCGAAAAAGGTTCTAAGATTTAAACTTCTTGGTCAGAATAGGAAAAAACTACCTGAATCCAACTTAACCTTGATTGAATTGATTTCAGACTTGCAGTTTATCAAAAAAGTATTATTACTCTTAGGTTCTAGTAAGATGACGTCATTTGAGAACGAACCTTTCGTGGTTGATACAATCTATTGAACTTTCAGCCTACAACAAGCTCAAGTTTCAAAAACTACAAAGTTTCTAATTCAGGAAAATTCCACTTAATAATTACCGATTGTTTATCACATGAATGTAGATGATATATTTCATAACCATGAATACGAGAAAATGTCAATGAAACCTACACGAGAGTTAGCTAATTAAGGATAATGTTGCTCTAGACCAATCATAATTTTATTTTCCTAAGAACTTCTAATCAGCAATTTTCTATCGACTTTAATGATTGAGTTTGAATTTTTATAAAAATAGAATTAGAAATGCTTCCGATGGTGCCATTTTATCTCTTAAAACAGAAACATTGCGGAATGTGTGCGAATGACACAAGTGCGTAGGCCTTGTTATATTTCAACAATCGTGAAGGACATAACAATCATGTGATTTTTGGAAATATATATTCATGACAATTTATTGGTTTATTGCTCATTCAGTTGAGAGCATGTCCTTATTTTATGATTATTGCTGATAAAATGATCAATTATTGAATAATTTATTTTTCACAATAAACTTTTTCCTCTTTTGTTAAAAGCTCAACAAGTTCAGCATTATTCTAAATAACCGTGGATAATTTCATCTTTTTTGTAGTCCTTCATTGATTTAGAAAATATTATTATTATTTGAAGAGCAATTTAGTCAGAAAATACTCTTAAAGGGGACACTTCCACGTTTGAAAATGAGTCAATGAAGCATATCAAGATATTCAATAAATTGAAAAGAAAAAGTTTTTCTTCTCTTCTTTTTTTTTGCTTCTTCAACTTCATGCCGGATTGAATTAAATAGGATACAGAAGCATTTGCTCGTGGTGTTATGTTCAATAAATTTTTTTGGAATATTAAATTTGAAGTGGAAAGGAACAACATTGAGTTGATTTTGTTGAGAACTTTTTGAATTTTTTTAGAAACTTTTCCTGAATATTTCTTAATAATGTTAAAAATTTATAGGTTGTGTGCAAATGAGGTCGATCACAATTTTAGGATTTTGGGACCAGTTTTTTTTGTATTAAGATTCTTAACTTTAACCTTAACTTTAGAATTTAGAAAAATTCGAAATGCGAAAGTTCGATTCTTTACCGTAAACAATAATTGATTAAGTTTTGGCTATAAACCATTGATCAATGAATCATTTATAGAATAGGTAAAGTAATTTAATCCTTGTGTAAATTAGTGTAAACCTCCATAAACACATTGAAACAAAATCAACATAATCTTGTCGTCATAGTTAAAGTTCCTGAAATAATTGTGTAGTACATTTGTTAAATTAATTTTCAATGCTGTTAAAATTTTTGGTTCAATCTTTGTGATTATCATTTGGTATTTTAAAAACTTTAATCTAATATAAAGGATCTTTTGCATGTATCTTTAACCAGAGCTCGAAGTCGATAGGGTTTGAGTCAACACGAGTCAACTTGAGTCGACTTCGAGCTCTGTCTTTAAATAATCATTAAACTATTATAGACATTTTAGATATATCCTGAATAGCAAAAGTCGGTTAATCGAATAGAAATCTAATAGTGCAGAACTGATCTCACGTAACCAAAATCGCCGTCAATGAAAATTTGACTTAAATGTACAATTTTTTTGATCATCCAATAGACGTCGATTTTTCATTCATTACATTCGTTTTTCTTGAGCCGCTATATACTTCACAAGTGCAATCAGAAATCACTTATATAAGGCACAGCCAAATTTTCATACAAAGTGTGATTAATTAATTAAATTAATTATATGCGAATCATTCATCTAAATGAAGACTTCGACTCTTTTTTTCAAAGACAAAATCCTTAATTAATTTTATTTTTGGATTTTGTCAAAAAAAAAATTGAAATTTTCTTAAAAAAATCATCGTCGTCACATGGATAAAAAATCGACTCAAAATCGTCCCTTTTCATATTAGCATAATGTCCAATGTACGAT